ATGCAATGTAATTAATAAAAAACTAATTAATGAATTAATTAACTTCCCTTGAAAGGTTGAAGACTATGCCTTCTGCTTTACAACACTGCACATCAACATGTAAGCTGATTGAGGAACACGTCTAGGGTGAGGAACCTGTCAATAGAACAGGCAGAAGGAGACACAGAAAAATCTTTCATCCACTGGTTCATTCCCAGAATGGCCACAATGGCTGCAGCTGAGCCAATCCAAAGCCAGGAGCCAGGAGTTTCTTCCAGGGTCTCCCACGTGGGGGCAGGGTCCCAAGGACTTGAGAGACATTCTATGTTGCTTTCTCAGGCCATTAGCAGGGAACTGGATTGGAAGTAGAGCAGCCAGACATGAACTGGTACCCCTTTGGGATCCTAGCACTTGTGAGGTGAGGATTTAACTAACTGAGCCATCACACTGGGCCCATGACAAGCCTATTCTACATTTTTGTTCTTTGTACACTTGTTCTAAAATAGATGATTGGCTGCACATATGCTTAACTGTTCTACTGAGTGCACAAATAGCCTGGGAAGAATATCTGCTCAAGGTCTCCTGGGTGTCTGTAATACAAAAGTAGAGGAAAAAAAACCCCTATATTTTAGTTTAAAAGACCTGTGTTTAAGTTTACTGCTATGACCCTCAAAAGAGTAACATGTTGGCATTTGGATGCAAGTCTATATAACAGCCAGCGAATGTCAGAATGGGATCTTTCATAAGACTAAAGGAGGAACAGAATAAAACAGGAGTTGCTAAAGAATCCAGGATTTCTGGCTCTTCTTTGCTTGCACACCTGTTGCATGGCTTCTTGCCCTCTGACATATCTGCTTTAACACTTCCCAAACTCCCTGCTTGGGCATTTGGCTGATGGTCAAGGTTTGCATTGGGACGCCTGCACCCCACAAAGGAGTGTCTGGATTCAAGCTGTGGCTCTGCTCTGGCTTCCAGCTTCCTGCTGACATGAACCTAGAGTTCACATGTGTTCCTGCTACGCACAAGGCAAACGTGGATTAAGTTCCTGGTGCCCTACTCTGGCTTGGTCTGGCCCTGGCTATTGAGCATATTTAGGGAATGAAGCAGTATTGTCTCCCTAACAAAAAGTTCCCCAATTTATGTGGCCAATTCTTATTCCTCTAAATCTTGTGTCTCTTCCTAAATGAGCCCTCTTCACCTATGCATGACTACCCGTACCTATCAAGAAAGTCAGTTGGGCCCAGCATGGTAGCCTAGTGGCTAAAGTCCTCACCTTGCATGCACCAGGATCCCATATGGGTGCCAGTTCTAATCCTGGTGGCCCCACTTCCCTTCCAGCTCCTTGCTTGTGGCCTGGGAAGGCAGTCAAGGATGGTCCAAAGCCTCAGAACCCCGGGCCCACATGGCAGACACAGAACAAGCTCCTGGCTTCATATCGAGCCCAGCTCCGGCTGTTGCGGTCACTTGGGCAATGAATCAGTGGACAGATTTTCCTCTCTCTGTATATCTGACTTTCCAGTGAAAACAATAAATCTTTAAAGAAAATTTCTCCATCTTCAACTCAGTAGTTGCTTATTCAGCCCCTCCTTTGTAAAGATACAATGTGAGACAATGCCCTTCTTCAAGCGGCTTTTCAGTGACAGGGAAGACAGGACACACTTGTTTCCTCCATGCCCTTGTTCCAATTCTGTTCACCTATTTCCAGTAAAGAGTGCTTACTGTGACCCAATCCATCTTGGTTCTAGTAACTGAGTTACAAAAGAATGCTTCTATCTTAGCTTTCCTAATATCTCTATTTGGGAACTTTTAAAAAAGTTACTATCTCTTGGGCCCAATGCAGTGGTTCATTTTGCAAGTGTTAGGATCCCATATAGGTATCAGTTCATGTCCCAGCTGCTCCACTTCCTATCCAGCTCCTTGCTTAAGGCCTGGGAAAATAGTAGGGGATGGTCCAAAACCTTGGGACCTTGTACCTGCATGGGAGTCTGATGTGTTTAGCCCAAGAAAAGGATGAAACAGGAAAAAAAGCAGCTTCAGATTCCTGCATTTGTCCCCCATCCCAAATGTAGGTCCAAGTTTGTCTCTTCTAAAATGAACTGTGAACCAGTGTTCATCATAACGCTAACTCTCTTTGCAGGATCACGAAGAGAAACAAAAAGGAAGCACTTTTCAAAAACGGTTGCACTGGCAGCAGGAAGAACCTTTATGTAAATTAGGAGGCAAATTCCTACTAAGCTGGTATACTCCTCTTTATAACCTGCTTATAAAGAATTAAGATTTTTTGTTGTCATTATTTCCTTTAATGACCCCATTTTAAAAGTTTATAAAACTTAAATTTGTTTCTTTACTATCTCTTTTTACATATTCAAACTGTTAAACTCAAACTTTAATTCTAATGTCCCATTTCAGAATGCTTTATTTATCCACCTTGTTTTTATGCCCTAAATTTTAGAAAACAGCAACAAAATCTGAGCTATTGCATTTTTTCTTACTTCAGCCTGAGCATAAGCTGGAATCTGGGGCCACAACCATATTTTCTTCTTGCCCAAGAAAAGTGCTTAGAGTAGAATAAACCTTCTTAAAGCTGCTAAAGTCATGGCTGACTGTTATTAACCACGTTGGAACTTGATGAGTCTCAATCTCTCCTTCTGCAAGATGGCATCAATACTGATTGCATAGGGTTATTTTTAGATAATGAATTTAAAGTAATTTTTGGTAATGTAGAAGTCTGTAATAGTTAGAGGACTAGCATGCTGCCTCACAGTCTGTGAAAATACAAATGAAAACTATTCTTGAATGCCAGCACAAATCACTTCCAAACCCTTTATACCAAAGGATAACCATTTATAATCTGGAACATTTACCAAGTGTAATCATGCCAGCTGCTCTACTGCATTTTCCCACTTAATCCTTACAACACTGATGTAGACAGAGGTTTCTATTGCCCTGATTTTACAGTTGAAGAAAATGAAGTTCAGAAAGATTCATGCACCGAAGGCACCCATCCCAAGTGTTGGACTTGAAACCAAGTCTGCCTGTGTTTACTGCCATGGTATTTTGTATTGTGCTGCTCCCCTACTTCAGTCAGAAATGGATAAAAGTTACTACTACCAAACACAGTCATGAGGTTAAAAGACAGGCTGTCTGGGAAAGGTATTGGATGAAGCCCAGGAACCCACTTCTACTCTCTGCTGAGGCCCAACTGAGTGACAGGGAAGAATTTTGTTTAAGGTATAAACCTTAAGGACAGAAGACAATATCAACAAAAATGAGAAGCTAGAAGGCAGATGAGAAAGCAGTAAACACTGTAGTATGCCCAGGAGAACAAAATTAAAAGCCAGCATAGATAGGACAAGGGCAGAGGGAAGGGGAGGAGGATCACAGAATCCTCAAAAGGTCTAGGAACTGACTACTTCAAGTGCTCCTGGAAGCAGAAGTGAGGGGGGAGGTATTAACACGGGAACCAGGTGTTTGGCACAGTGGTTAAACTGACACTTAGTGTCCAAGGACCAGGTCCAAGCCTGGGCTCTCTCAATGTATGTTCTGTTAGTGTGTATCTTGGGCGATAGCAGGTGATGGCTCAAGCAGTTGGGTTCCTGCCATCCATGTAGGAGACTCAGGTTGACTTCCTAGTTCCTGGCTTCAGCTTGGCGCACTTCTAGTTCTTAACACATACTTGGCAAGTCAAAGAGCAGATAGGTCTTGGCCTAAGTCACACATATTCCTCTGCTTTAGGTCTCATCACAGTATCTCCCCTCACCTCACTGGCAAGGCCTTCTTCACTGTTCACTTGATTAGACTGGAAAAAGTCTTGTTACCCTAAAAAAAAAATGACATGCTCCACAGGAAATACATAAGGATACTGACAAAGTTTGGTCAATTAAATGGTCTAGCAGATCCCTCTCCTGCAAAGTTCAACATCAATCAGTTCCACCTACTCAGGAGCTAGGAGAAGTTGGAATCAAGACTGGCATCTGGTATCCAACTCGGGCACTCCTGGATGGCTCCCAGATGCACTACCCTCTCCCCTGTTTTCAAATATAAGTAGACAACCAAGGATGCAAATTCTACACTCCTGCTGTACCCCAGCAGACACCAGGTGATGACTCACATAGTTTGGGTCCCTGCCACCCACATGGAAGATCCAGACTGAATTCCCAGCTCTGTGCTTCAGCCTGGTCAAGTCCTGGCTGTGGCAGGCAGGAAATCTCTGAGCCTTTCAAACAGCCAGCATTTGGCACTGTGGCTTCCACCTATGATGCCAGTATTCCACATGGGCAAGTCCCGCAGCTTCACTGCTAATCTAGTTCCCTGAAAATGTGCCCAGGAAAGTGCTTGAGCCTCTGCACCCATGTGGGAGACACGGGAGACATGGTGGAGGTGCCAGGCTCCCGGCTTCTGCCTGGGCTAGCTCTGACTGTTGCGGCCATTTGAGGAATGAACCAGTGGATAGAATATAGTGCCCCACCTTTTCAACTCTGTCTCTCCTCTTTTCATTATAACTCCACATATCAAATAACTTAAAAATTCTTAAAAAGGAAAAGGCAAAAGACACAACAGATACTAAGAAGTCTAATACAGAAGAGACAGAAAAGGAATTCCCAGGATAATGGCGAAGGGTGTTCCCAGGATACAGCCACACATTAGGCAGAAGAGGCTGTCATTGCAGACAGGGCCAGGTCAGAAGGTCCCAGCGAAAGACTGAATTGGGAAAATGGAACAGTCTGCTGTGAACGAACACTGTGAGCCATTCAGGTAAGCGGCAAAACATTTAGCTGATGTAAAGTTCACAGGCAAGTTTAGGAAAAAACAGAAAACCACAAACCACCAAGTCCCCTAACACTATCAAATCAGCCCAAATCACACCACATGGTACACCAGGAGAGAAAGGCAAGAGCAAGTTATCCAATTTAAGGCAGTTTGGTATTAATCACAATATTGGGGTGGTTTCACCAATGACTGTTGCTTTGCATCAGAAAGCAGGATAAGAAAAATAAAAACTCAATTTATAAAAATTGGTGCATTTATTAAAAAATATAGACTAATGGGTCCTGTGCTTAAATGTCACTGTGGCTGACATCTATACAATGTAACACACTGGAGACAAAATTACCAAGGGAAGCAGAAACGATTGACAAGAGCTATTTCACACATTATTTCCTTATAATTAATACTTGCTAAAAATAGGATTGGGCAATTTGTTACACCAATATTCGTGGAGGCCGTCAATCACAGGCAGAAGGGAACACCAGGACCACAGTCTCTTCATTATTCCTAGAGTTTTACAGTTTAGCTGTGAAGGTCAGTTACCAGGGCTATGCTTGTTTTCAACAAGTCGAGTTTGTATGTTCCTTCAGTCAGAGCCTCATGCACTTTTCCAGGCCTATTCACTTGCGGAGGAGTAGAAACTGCATCCAGGTTCATCCCATGCAGCTGAGTGCGACGCTCCATCCTCATATGCTGTCCAACTTCTTTAAGATAAAAGGAGCTGAAAGACAGGCGAACCCCACGTAAGTTTTCCCTAGGCTGTGGCACATAATTATAAGATTGGATAAAAAAATCCTACAGGTTCAACAAGCTCTGAAAACATTTCCAAATAAAGGTCTAGACTTGGCCAGGCCAGCAGAAGGGATTCACCACCTTCCACAACTGTCTACTCCAGAGCCATCAAACCTATTACCAAGTTTACTCTTAGACCATCCCAAATCTTTTCATCAGGCAGCTCCCCTGGGGGGCAGAATGACTGAGAAGAAATGGAAGGACTGTGCTCTCTCAGGTAACTGACAAAGTTTATTTCCAGGATTCCAGTTTATGTACACATTACAAAACAACAGTTCAAGCTCCGTTTCCGTAGTGTAGTGGTTATCACAGTCACCTCACAAAACAACAGTTCAAACACAAGTCAGACTTAGATCATGTCTGTAATCAAAGAGTTCAAGGAAAGCTAACAAACCATCTTGGTCGAAGCACAATTGAGTTGGGGACTAGATAAGGAGCACTGTCTGCCCTGGGTTAGCCGACTAGACAGCGCAGATGCTTGCCCTTTATCCAGGCAAGTACAAAAACACCTCCAAGGATGCAGTGGGGAAGCCTGCATGCTGGGTGAGCGGCCCTTCGCCTCATCTTCCTGGAGCTGCTTCTCAACAGATTCCCAGCCTTGCATCTGTCACCCCAGCTTATCCTGCTGGATGTGTTCAGACACCAGGGTGACAGGATCCCAATTACTTGAGCCATTGTCACTGGCTTGAAGGCCTACACTAGCAGAAAGCCAGATTAGAAGCTAGAGGCAGGCTCAGGACCCAGGTACGTGGCTACTGGATGTGGGAATTTTAACCAGCGTCCTCACCACTAGGCCAAACGCCTGTTGCACAAGATGGACTCTTATTCAGCTACCAAGAGGAATGAAGCTGTGACACATGCTACAACATCGTACTACATGAATTAAGCTAGACACACAGGCCACATACTGTTCAAGGGCAAACTCAAGCATAGGAAGATCTTCAAAACCCTCATGGAATATGTGCATCATCAGAAAATCCCACAAATTTCAAAATTTTAGGCACATAAGATATTTTCCCAAGAATTGAAACCAGGAAGCAGGAGCTTCTTCCAGGTCCCTATGTGGGCACTTAGGCCATTTTCTGCTGCTTTTCCAGGCCATAGACAGGAAGCTGGAGAAGATGAGAAGCAGCCGGTGCCTAGATGGGGTGCTGGTGCTATAAGAGGATTACCTCGCAAAGCCACCAGACCAGCCCCTTCATGAACTTTTGAAAAGTGTCCTCACAAAATTCCATTTAAATTAAATGATCAGAATGGGTAAATCCAAAGAGAAGAATTTGGACTAGTGATTGGCAAGGACTGGAGAAAGGCAGAAGTGACAGCTAATGAATACGGTGCTTCTCCTAGGGAGAAAGAAAATGTTTCTAAATTGTGGTCTAGCTGTATAACTTCCACTTAGACTAAAAACCACTAAATTGTACACTTTAAATGGACAAATCATATCATATCCATATTATATTTCAACTTAAGTGATGATAAACCAATTTGTCTGAGGCCTGAAAGTCAGGGAGTTGGGGCTTGGCGTAGTGGTACAGCCAGCTCACCCTCCACCTGTAGCACTGGCATCCCATGTGGGCGCTGGTTTGAGTCCCAGCTGCTCCACTTCCAATCTAACTCTCTGCTTGTGGCCAGGGAAAGCAGCATAGGATGGCTCAAGTCCTTGGGGCCCCTGCTTCCATGTAGGAAACCCATAAAAAGGTCCTGGCTCCTGGTCCTGGATGGGCCCAGCTTTGGCCATGGCAGCCAGCAAATGGGAGATCTCTCATTCTTTCTGTAGCAATGCCTTTGCAATAAAAATAGATTTTAAAAAAATCTTAAGCACATTATTGTACCGTGAGCTAGGTGGGAAGAAAAGGGTTAGGAGAAAAATGTGGCAGTGGGGAGCTGCTGAAACTGCTAGAAGACTTGGGTGTTCCTGGTCCCCACGGGGAGGCTGACTAATGTCACAGAAAGGACTACCAGCACTGAGTAAGGGAGATCTTAGCTTCACCAAGGTCTTCTACTGGACGACCCTGGGATGGCCTTCATTTGTCCAAGCTATGTTCGCCTTCCTGCCCAGATCCACGAAGCTCAGAGGCACAAAGTGGGGGACACGTCACCTCGGAGAGGACCAAAACTGCTCCCCTCTCCTGTAGTAACTGTGCCTCGGTCCTTCTGAACCCTCACGCAGGTGCGGCATACAGAACGCAGCCTCAAAGCCACACCGTCCGGGGTGGAGGTGAGCAGCCTTCTGCCTACTGCACCATCGAATACAACCTCAGGCAGTCTCACTAGCACGAGACACTCATCTTCTTGTACACTCTTTGCTTGTCAGTTATTATTATTAAAGTAATTCTATACTTTATCTTCTCAGCAAATGAAACGGGAGTCAGTGCCGCCGGAAGGCGCAGCTCTGGATACTAGGTCAAGTTCATCCGCCGAGTCGCTGAATGACCTTGGGGCAGCCAGCTAACTCCCCGCTCTGGGACCAAGTATCAGATACATATATATATCAAATATATATATTAAAAAACAAAAACTCGGAGAGCTGCTCTAGGGCGGAACTTCTGGAAGCGCTTTCCAGTCCGATGCTCTGAAGGCGCGGGGAGCGGCGGCTCCGAACGCCGCGCGCCGGGCCGCCACGTGCACCTCGGAGACACCCTGCCCGCACCCCAAGAACCCGCGCTCCAGACGCCCGCCGAGCTCGACGTGCACGCCCCTGGCTCCCCGCAATCGCCCCACTCCGCCGCCCCGGGGGGACACTCACTGACTCGCAGCAGGGCCACGTAAATGAGGAAGTTGCGTATGGAGGAGAGGACATCCTCGCGCATCTTGCGCTTCATCTCCTCCGGGTCCAGCTTCGGCGCGAGGCCCTCGATTCGGAACATCGCGGCTCCCGGTCCCTTTCGCAGCGGTAGCAGCGGCGCAGCGACCTCTGCTTCGGCTCTCCAACAACCACCTCAGCCGTGGGCCTCGCACCCGGAACTCGGCCCTCCCCTACTTCCTGGCCACGCCCCCTCACTTCCGCGCGTGCAGCCACGGGAGCTGACGAGGGACAAGTCTCCTCAGGCCCCGAGCCGGAGCTGAGGAAGTTCGGCCTGAGGGGGGCGGTCGCAGTCCGAAAGTCTCCCCCGCGTCCTCAAGCCTGAGCGCGTGCCAACTGCTAGCACTCTACATCACAATAGCTAATATTCATTGACTGCGTGACCTGGTTATTAGACCCAATTAGAAAACGGATGTATAGAGATATTTAAAATAGCTTCCCCAAATCTATCTTAAAATACTTTGAGGGAAAAGAAGCATCTCGGAAGAGAAATGAAAGGACATTGCCGAATACAGTGTTGTGAACACAAGCTGATGAACTGTAGGTACTTTAAAATCATGATGGTAGTTTTCTATCTTGAGCATGTTTGAGATTTTTCCATGGTAAAGAAAGATGAAAGTAGTGAAAAGTGCCCAAGATAACCCAATTAGTGAACCATGAATGGGGTTTTGTATCTGGTTGGGCCATGGTGGGACCCCAGAACCACAGCTCCATTTCCTTCCTTGTAGAGGAAGGGCATAAGATCTCACACTCTTCAAAGTCCTTTCTAGTCCTAACAGTCTATGCATTTTGAATTCTGGTTGTGTCATCTAGGAAATTCTGGTCTGGAATTTGGGGGATATGAAAGTATCATCCCATGTGGTCAGAAGTCAAGAGTCAGGAGGTGTGTTTACAATAAAACATCTTATATCTCAATAGTGAAGCAAAATAAATTGGGAAGAAATGAGTTCTTAGATGTGACTCCAGTAAGTTATACCCCTAATACGGGCTGAATTTAGATAAACAATTCACATACAGAAGCTCCATCCAGGTCTTTTTTCTTTTCTTTTTTTTTTTTTTTTTTTTTTCCTTATTGGGATGCTTTTGAGTAATTTGCCTAGATTTTCAGAAAGAAAAAGAAAAAAAAATAGGTCCTAGTCGCCTTTTTTGGATGAAAGAAACAGGTTGTTATGATTTGAATCTTACTGATTCAGTGAAAAGTTACAGCAGCACCTGTTTAACAGGCAAGTGTGTGGTAATAAATGGATAACCTGTTCAAGGCAATACTCTTGTCATGTCAACTCCTTTAAAATGTGTAGTTCTTGTTCACCTGTGGAGTCAGAGGAGGATAACAGGCAGACCCTGGAGCATTTCTGTCTCAGAGTGGGGAATTTGTTCTGGATATAGCCTAGGAGTGTAAACGACACCTGTCATCCTAGTGAATTTCATCTTCCCCTGGCATGGCTACTCTAGTTGTGGTGGAAAAACTCACTGACCAAGATTAGGTTCCTTTCTCTGGCTTTTAAAAACATGCTTATTCATTTATTTGTCATGCGGGTGGTGATCTTATCTGAGTCCACTGGGTTTAGGTGAGACAAACAGAAAATACAACGGGAAGGCAGTGTGCGATCGAGCTATGTCACTCCCCTTTTTTTCCTCGTTGGAATGATGAGAGGCTTGATTCTAGTTTTTAAAGAACACCTGAAACTTTAAAATCGTGTAATTCTATGTTCACCCTTTCTGTTCTTCCTACATAATAACCCAAAAGACTCATACAAAAAAAAAAAAAGACTCAGAGCAAAGGATTTACTGCAATGAAAAGTGTGCATGCATAATTTAATATTGATATTATTTAGTCTCCTGCCAGAGGAAATAGCAGCTGATGTCATAACTTGTCTTGTTTTTCCATTTAGATCCCAGGAGGGATTTAGGAACCATTTCCTTTGCCTCGACTTCCCAGACAGCACCACATGCAATCAAAGTGTGCAACCTACCCATAAGACACTAAGTGCTTTCATTTCCCTCATTGGGTATGTGTGTTGCGGGGGGAGGAAGGGATTTGTATCTGCAAGTCCTAGGTTGACTGATGACTCATGCTTGGGAAATAAATCCAACATAAAATCACAGGGGCCTTGTGTTTTCTCATTTATAGGGAGCTGTCGACTGCGTATGGAACAGTTTGTCCCCCCTTCTCTTATGGATGAGGAGACTGAAGCCCAGAGGGTAGCTGTTAAGAAGCAGAGCCAGCTTGCAGAGGGTATTTCTTCTGGTTTGCGGTTTAGTACCTTTCCCTATCATATCTTCCTATTAAAAAAAAAATGCAGTTGCTTATTTTACAGGGAGAGAAAGAGAGAACACACTTCTATTTTCCAGTTCACTTCTCAAATGCCCACAACAGTAGGGATGAGAGGGAACCAGAGCTGGGAGCCAGGAATTCAGCCTAGGCGGGGACCCACTTACTTGAGCCATCGTGTCCACCTTCCAAGGTCTGTGTTAGCAGGAAACTAGAGTCAGGAACTGGAGGTGAGTAGAGGACGCAGACATTCCGAGCTGGACATCTCAACTGGTTAAATACCCATCTCCCCTGCTTCCTGCTTGTGATACAGGCCTCTGTCAAGTGCTTATTACTACAAAGAAATACCTGAAGCAGCTAATTTTGTAAAGAGAAAAGAGTTATTGAGTTGCAGTTTGGAAGTTCAAGTCAAAGATCAGATAACCCCATTAGTGTGGGCTCTGTGAAGACGGTGCATGGCAATGGGCACGTCCATGCAGAGGAAGGCTTGGATAACAAGTCAGGAAATTGGAACCAACTCAGTATTTCTTAATAGCCTTCTCTAGTGGGAACTACCTTCCACGGGCATGCCCTCCAACCCCTAACCTGAGGCTCTCCCAGTAGTTCCCACTCCTTAAGAAGTTCCATACCTTCCACTAAGCACCAATACTCTGGAGACTAAGGCTTAAATCTAAGGGTCTTTGGGGGAGGAGGGTGTTTAATGTCCACAGTAATATCTATATCCTAGTAATACTTTACCCATGAATATTCTCATTGCCAATCCTCCCCTCAGAGGTAAGAATGGGAAGAATGGGGTATTGTTAATCCCCTGTTTGAGAGGGACAGGATAAAGGGTGGCTGCACTCATAAACAGCTGAGGGAAGCCCTTCTGGCTGCAGTTCCACGCCCATCACCAGTGGTTAATCCGGATTGTATTATTATCCAGCTCTATGTCTCTCCTTCCTCATTCTCGCAGGGAATGATCATGGCTTGGAATTCCGAAATAAACTGGACTTTGAAATCTACTTAGGATCCAGGATGAATGAAGCAAAAATCAGGAAAGGACACTGGGATTCTCAATAGGGGTTGTTCTGTGATAGATCCTAGCAGATTGTATAACTTGTTCCCAGAAAAATTACTATCTGATAGATGTCTTCAGGGAGCAGCACATTTGGAATTGTTCAAGAGGAGTAGAGTCTTAACTTCAATGGTATTTGCCTTACCTGTTTTCTGTTCTGATTTTTTTTAAGATTTTGCTGCCCAGATGACTCATGAATATTTGATCTCTTTCCAAGTAGACTGCATAAATACTTCAAGTACAAGGAGCATGTCACTCACTCATTTTTTAATCCTCAAACAACTGAGGGTAGGTATCTCATTTAGACATGGTCAAAACTCAGCAAGTACTCTGTGGGTAAAGGAATGCATGGATTTCCTCTCTGCTGGTGTTTAGAATTATAAAATCACTTGCCTTGTTTATTTAGTTGAAAGGAAGTCATCCCCCAAGGAAATTAAAGCTTATAGAAAATATTTTATATGGTACTTATTTTTCACTGGACCAAGGGGTATATGAAATTCTTGAAACTGTACTGTGAATCTTGAGCTAATCTAAATGAAAAGATTGTGTTTACAAAGTCTCCACAAGTGTTCCCATGCCAGTTTATCTGCTGGCACAGCATCGTGCTGTTGTCTCTGTGTCTGTCTCCCTTGCTGAAAAAGGACAGGACTGTGTCTTCCCATTTTGGTATCCCCGATGCTGGCATAGAATCTAGCAAAGGAGAATGACCAGAATCTCCTAAGTAAATGTTTGTTGTGGAGCAAGTTGACTTTGAGAGCTGAAATTATGGGCGACGGGGAGAGGTGAGGAAGGACTTCAAGCTCGCAAATGTTATAAATGACATGTAGGCTTTGCTTGCTTCTTAGCATGACAGGCTGGGCAGCTCTCTACTGATGGACAGGCTTGAACGTCATTGTATCCCTACACGCTGTTTATGTTTTTGAGAGTCACATGACCCTTGTCCTTTGGCAGACAAAGAGCCCCAGGGTAGCTGAGCTGGTTCACACCAGGTGAGCTCTCAGGCTGCTGGCACATCTCAGGAGGGTGTGGATGACTGTATGTGTCTAGTGCATGAAAGCCAGCTGAGGCAGACAGCAAAAGAACTGGTTGGAGGATGAGTGATACCAGAGGAAGATGAACCTCCAGCTTGGTAAATTCTAGATCCAGCTGTCGCATTCAGAGACTGTGTGACCTTGGGCAAGCGCTTACTTCTTTGTCGATCCTGGAGTCCATGTTTGTGAAATGAGAACTTGGATTGACTGGACTCTAAAGTGCCTTCCAGGATTGATGGTGTGAGATCCTGTGATGAGTTTGAAAATTGTGGACAACAGTGGAAAGAAGCCGGTAAGTGTGTGTTAGAAACAGGTGGCTATCGATCACTGGTTCCATCCATGTCAGCAAAGAACAACCAAGCTATGCCAGGGATTTGTCTGAGTCATCCTGGAAGTAAAGACATCCGAGCACAATGGCTCAACATTGGGTCTTAAAGATCCAACTTGAATCTGTTAGAAGGAAGCTTTTCCAAGGATTGGAGGTGGGGAGCATGGAGGTGGTAGCACAGTGACAAATGATCATATTTAGGGAAAATTATGTTTATTGGCTGATAAGTCTTGATTATTTGTTTTGGGTTAAAATGATCCAAAATTTAAGTGTTGCTGATGATACAAAGAGCATTCTGTGGACCTTGACAGTAGCAGGCAGTGCAGTAAGGCTGCTTTTTAATTAATTAACTAATTAATTAATTATCTTTACATATTTTATAAGGGCACAAAAAGGTCAAGGGTTACAGGAAAGTGGGTAAGACCATTATTTCCACATTCTCTTTTTTCCTTCCCATATCTGGGGGAAAAGAGGAGATAAAGGGAGAAGCCACATC